TAAACATTCAGACCAGACTCTCCTCTCAGTGTCTTGCAAATGTTTTAAAGTTTTTTGGCCACATTGCGAGAAGAGACAATGACAACTTAGAAAGACTAATTGTGTGCGGAAACGTAGAAGGACGTAGAGGCCGAGGACGCTCACCTAACCGATGGTCAGATCAAGTACAGAAAGCCACTGGAGAGACGTTTTCCGAGTCCATGAGAGCAGCCCAAAATCGCAAGAGATGGAGAGAATTGACAGCCCGCATTGTAGGGAATCACGATCCTCAGCAATGAGGAAACGACAATAGAGAGAGAGAGAGAGGAAAAGTCCATTGACGAAAAAGAAGTAGTTCGAGAACATTCAAAAGTATTGTAATATTGTTGGTGTTGAATAAAGTTAATTTCAAGAAGTGTAACAATATGGAAAGACCAGAATATTTAAAAAATCCGAAAAATGAGATCAACTTATTAATATTTCCAGTACTAACATATGGATGCGAATATTGGATATTAAGGCAATTAGTAAGAAGAAAATAGACGCCACTGACATATTCTGCTGAAGAAGAATGTTGCGAATTCTATGGGCCGGCTGTAATTCCATTATAAAAGAACTAAAGATCTGGAAGAGACTCTCCGGCAAAATTCAAGTACAACAATTAAAATATATTAGACTTGTCCTGAGATCAGACATAGACAATATGGCGAGACTCCATACCGAGACTGAAAATGTATTGACGAGATCACGGGAAGTTGCGAAAGATTTGTGCATGATGGAATAAACATTACCAGAGACAGAAATCTGTGAAAACTGATTATGCTCGATATTACGGCGACCACTTTACTTCCACAGGAGTCAAGACTAAAGAAAGAGACATTTAAATTTCTTGATTATTAATCTATAATTTTCTTAGAACTATCTTGAAAATATTTTTTATTATTTTTTATGTTTCCCTATGGACGCAAAAAAACGAAAGATGTTATTTTTAAAAAAGACTATCAGTGTTTCCCAGGATAATCCTGCTATCCACTATAATTTCACAATGACAGGAAAATCTAGACAATTGGTACTCAATACCAAGCAAGTGTTAAATTATTAGAGGATGCTAAGACTTTCTACTATTTTGGAATTTACGCACAAGATTCTCAATATATACATGAAATAGATATACTCTTAAATAATTCTTTAAAACGAAATACCTTAAAAACGAAGTGTCTATATCCGAAAGGAACATATTGATAACTCTGAAATGCAAACTCATAAATGTAAATATACTTCAAGTATACGCTTCTATAGTAGACAAACCAGACACCAGACAAATCAATAAAATGTAATAAAATAAAAATGATTATTGGTGACTTTAACGTCAAGGTAGGAAAAAAAATATACAAGAAGTCATGTGACCTTTTGACTTGGAAGAAAGGAACAAACAAAAAGATGCGTTGTTACAATTCTATCAGGAGGAAGAACTGGTAATTAAAAAAATATATATATAACATGTTCTACCACCCAGATGGTTAAATACATAGAAATCTCCACAATACATTGCACAACACAAAATAAGAAACCGAATAGATTATATCCTAATAAATAAACGATTCCAAAATAGCATTAAAAGAGTAGCTGCTTAACCTGAAGCAGATATTGGCTCTGACCATAACCTTCTTCTTCTTATGATGCCTATCCGTTAGGATATTCTTCTTCTTCCTGGACCTCTTTTCCCATGCGCTTTACCTTGAAGTATGGTCCGAAGTAAGAATCATTATATGGCCGAGGTATTCTAGTTTGCGATGTTTTATGGCTACGACTAGTTCGCGCTCTTTACCAATTCTATGTAGTACTTCTTCGTTGATAATTCTGTCTATCCAGGAAATCCTCAACATGCGTATATAGCACCACATCTCAAATGCTTCTAGTCTCTTCAGTGATGCTTCAGTTAAGGTCCATGACTCTACGCCATATAAAAGAACGGAAAATACGTAGCATTTTAGTAAACGAACTTTTATTTCCAATTTTATGTCGTGGCTGTTAAAGATTTTTTTCATTTTGACGAAAGCTGATCTTGCCTTCTCAATCCTTATCTTAATTTCAGTCGATTAGTCCCACTGTTCATTTAAGTTTGCACCCAGATAACAAAAGTTGGTGATTTGTGTTATAGGTTGTTGGTTAACTAGTAATTGACCAGGTGGTATCCTATTTTTGTTTATAATCATGTATTTGGTTTTTTTGATGTTAAAATCAAGCCCAAAACTGCTACTTACTTCTGCCACCCTGGAAACAAGTGTCTGCAGACCTTCAAGACTGTCTGCAAAAATGACAGTATCATCAGCGTATCTTATGTTATTCAATCGTTCTCCGTTTATCAGTATTTCCTCGTCTATGTCCGTTAGCGCTAGGTTCATAATGTGCTCTGAATATGTATTAAACAATAATGGGGACAATATACACTCCTATCGTACACCTCTTTTTATCTTTATATTATCTGTTAGCTGATTACCAACTCTAACAGCTGCAGTTTGTTCGTAGATATTGTTTATTATACGGCGATCTCTGCTGTCTAGACCAATTAAATTTAATATTTTCATCAGTTTGTCATGTTTTATTCTATCGAACGCTTTCTGGTAATCCACCAAACACACACACACACACACACACACACACACACAACACACATATAATATATATAATATATATATATATATATATATATATATAATATATATATATATATATATATATATATATATATATATATATATATATATCAATATCACAATTCACGTCGCTACATCTTTGAAAGAGAACTTGTATTGCAAAAAGTGTCTCTCGAGTACCCAATGTATCCCTGAAGCCGAATTGTGTGTTTGTCATATGTTCTTCACACTTTTTATATATTCTTTTATGTATAATTTTTAAAAAAGTTTTAAGGAGATGGCTTATAAGGCTTATTATTCGATAATCTTCACATTTTTTGGCATTGGGTTTTTTAGGGATTGTTATAAAAGTTGATCTTAGCCACCGTTGGGGTATTTTTCCACTTTGGTATATATCGTTGAAGATCAAGTCAAGAAGTCTTTTTACTTCGTCTTTATCCATAATTTTCAAAAATTCTGAGTAGAACTCGTCTGGTCCTGCGGCTTTTCCCTCCTTAATGTTGTTTATAGCAGCTTCTACTTCCGCTTCGAGAATAGGTGGTCCGGTATCGTCATTTTTATTTTGTGTGATGGTGACATTCCTATCGTCTTCAAATTTTGTTATCACATAGTTTATCCACGTTATTTTTGTTTCTTCAATATCATCTATTGGATTTCCTTGAGCGTCTGTTAAGTGTCCCGACCTTTTTGATTTATAGATGCCTGCTGCTTCTTTGATTTTTTTGTGGAGGTTGAAAGAATCGTGTTTACGTTGCAATATCTCGATTTCTTCACACTGTTCTTCCAGATTTCTATTTTTAGCTTCCCTGACAGCTTTTTTTTATCTCTTTGTCTAGAAATTGATATGCAACGTTGTCTTTCCGCTTGGCTTCTCTTCTTCTGTCCATCATCTGTAATATACCGTCGGTCATCCATGGTTTTTTCTTTTCTGTTTTTTTCGGTCGCAGGTATTGGTCTAATATTTCCTTCCCAATGTTTTCTAAGTGGTTTATTTCTGTGTCAACATCATTAACTATTTCTGACTTAGATATGTTGTTCTTCAGATATTCCCGTACTTCTTGCTTTATGCCATTATCTCTTAGTTGTTTGAGATCGTATCTTATAGGATTAGGTTTGTGGATTTTTTTAAATTTCAGGTAGAACTTAGCCACAAGTGGGTTATGGTCTGACTTAATATCTGCACCAGGGTAGGTTTTCACTGATGTTATTGAGTGTTTGAATCTTTTATTTCAATCTGGTTTCAATCTGGTTTCTTATGAGATTTTTTGGCGTGTCACCGGGTGAGCGCCTTGTGTACAACCTTCTGAATGGTAATTTGAAAAGTGTATTGGTGATTACCAGCTCTTCTTTCGTAGCAAATGTGAGTAGGCGTTCTCCTCCCTCATTTCGCTCACCCAGACCCCATGAACTTACTACTTCACCATAACTACCCTTACCGATTTTGGCATTAAAATCACCCATAACTATCGTTACTTCAATTTTTTTTATCTTACTTAGGACTTTCCTCAAATCGTAATAAAAAGCCTCTATTACTTCCATAACCTACTAATTAGTAACAAAATACTTACGCTTCCTATTAAAGAAAACAATAATACATTCTTTTGTATTGGTGATTCTTTTACTCCTTTCATCTGAGTTTTTAGTTGCGTGCATACTGCTTTTGAAGCAAAATCTGATCCCTGACAATTTATTTCCATACCGTTAAACATAATATTTTTGACTTTATCTGTTAAATATATGGTCTTGGGTTCATTAAAAATATGCGTAATTGCTTGGTTTACTATCGATAACAACGCAGGAGACGTCGTTGCTACTGTATTAACCATACCCTAAAAGAAAATGATAGTTTTGTTAAAAATAACATTGATTCATTTCTGAATATATAAATTGGTTTGTATTAAAACATTTAGTCCTCGTAGTATGGGCGCACTATCTAAAAAAATGTTCTCATTCCATATGTTTGCACAATATTACTTGAAATACTCCATTTATAACAAAAGTACGTAATGCCAAGAGAAAAGGATAGTCAAAAATTGTTTAAACATTTTTTTTAACAAATTGAAAAAAATATTATTTTTTTATTTGAAACAAGTTTTTAGGTTAATGGCTTACTCTGAGCAAAAAGCTCTGTTTTAACTTTTCTCTAAAATGCGTAAAAATGATAATTTTCAAAGCTCGATAACTCAGTGAAAAATTAATACTTTTTAACCGCTTTTTAACTATTAAAATTTAATAGTTAGCTTTTTATAATTTTTTAAAATTTAGCTTTAAATAAATTTACGCAATAAGCTGTAATTAAAATAAATAGTGATACTAAAAGTTATTAAAAAAACTAAGGGGTAGAATTATTTCAAAATTACTTACTACAAGCAATGGATGTATGATGGTTACATAATCCTCATCCGATAAAGAGCCAGATAAAGTTTTATTGAATCTGTATGTATCAAAAGCATCGTACTGCAAACTATCTTCAGCATCATTGTCTATGACGTTTATTTTCTCTTTGTATTCACTAAAACATTACAACATTAAATTGTTATATTAGACATTAACAAATAAACTGTGTTGTTTCTCGCAAAAGTATACTGTAATCTAAAATTCAGTATTACTGTCAGATTATTAATTTTCAATTTTTATTCAATACTAGCCGACCCTGCAAACGCTGTTTTGCCTTATAAATTATTTCTAGTTTCTAGATAAATTCTCCATAATCACAGTCATTAACATCTTAGTAGATGTGTTATGGTTCATAATTGGGTTTCAGCAGCTCGGACAGTTTGATTGATAATATTTCTAAATAGATAAATTCTAGTGTAGACAAAAAGTTCCTTACTTATTATTAGTGTGTAAGTATGTGGTATATGCGTGAAATGGGCGAGGAGCGCTACGAACGATAAGGGAATATAAAAATAACAAACGCCAAACAATATTATTTTCAAGTTATTATAGTTTATTACTTAAAATTACATATCACATATTAATTACGATAGTAAGCCTAACAAACAAAATCAATCTCTTAATGCTATAGCGTGAACAATATTCTTTGTTAGCCCATCTTTAGCGAGCACAAACAACTGGATGGTTTACCCACTCGAGAGCATGCTACGTACAATTGCCCGTGTGAAAAACATGGTATACTCAAATCTAAGCCACAAATACACATCGTTTGGCTTTGGGATTTGTTGATAGTCATTGCAAATGCCAATCTAGTCGGAAACTGAATTCGTTTGAATTGAACTGGCACATCTGTAGGTATGATAGGAATCCGTGGTATTAATATATTTTCACCTTTGAACTTGCCATTTAAAATGCAGGCTTCGATACCGTTTTTCATCAATTTTCGAATGACTAATCGCCTACTGTTGCACAGCCGTGGCGGGTTTAAATTACGAAGCAAGATAATTGGAGATCCAGCTTTCAATTGTAAATTATGCGGTTGCATGCCTGGCAAATCCAGTGAGTTCACAAATTCTGTGGGAAAATTGACAGCTTCGCTGGCATCGCAAACTGTATCAATAGATTTTTATGATACCAAGTTTCCTGGCAACAACTGTTGTATCTTCAAATTTAAATTGTTGACGTCTACATTTTTTGCTGCTAAAATAGCTCTTTCTGCAAGCCACTCATAATTTATGTACTGTGTGTGTACGTTAGGAAACATTTGTTTCATGAGAGTATCTTGCGAATCAGCGATTATGCAGAAATCGGTCGGTAATTTTACGTATCCAGTTTTATCTGTAGCAACTTTTTCATCACCGATATCTAAGAGTTGTTTTGAGAATGTTTCAGCGGATGGATCTTGAAGCATTTAAACGCGCATATTTACTTTCAGCTGTACTTTTTCAACATTATGCCACAATGGAGATGATTTTAAGCAAGCGTTGATCTCATCAGCGTATGTTGAACGTGGAATGACGGGAAGTGTTTGTTTGAAATCACCTGAAAGCACCAACAGAGTGCCGCCAAATAGTTTGTCGTTGTTTTTAATATCTTTCAATGTCCTGTTTAACGCCTCAATTGAATGTTTGTGTGCCATAGTACATTCATCCCAGATAATAATTTTACACTGTTTTAGCACTTTAGCCATGGACGATTGTTTTTTAATGTTACACACTGCGTCAGGGTTATTTTGAATATTTAGTGGCAGCTTAAATACTGAATGAGCTGTTCTGTCTCCATCCAATAAAGTTGCCGCAATGCCCGATGATGCAACGGCCAATGCGATGCCATTATTTGATCGTATTTCAGCAAGAATTAGTGAAATAAGGAATGTTTTGCCAGTTCCACCCGATGCATCCAAAAAGAAGAACCCACCTTGTCCTGCTGAAACTGCGAGCAAAATGCGGTCATAAATGGTTCTTTGTTCGTCATTCATTAGTGGGATATTGCGGGTAACAATCGCTGCCATTTCTACAGTGTTGTACTGCATTTCACGATTCATGTCAGTATTAATGAATCAGGTGCAGTTCGATTTGGCGAATTCATACCGAAATGAGTGAGTGATAAGTTGGTAATGACAATGAAAAGATTCTCAATAGCAATCAATGCTTCATTGTACATAGCGTCGCTGAATGTTATCGTTAGATCGTTGCACCGTGTTCGATGTTGATGCAATATATTATCAGTAATTGAATCTTTGTGATTATCCCACAATATCTGTGCTCGAGCTGGGAAACATGTAGTAAACACTATAGCGAATAGTAGACGAATTTGTATTGCTGTACAGTTCAATGCAGCTTCAGCAAGCATACACTCCCACTGGTTGTCGTCTTCCAGCAAGCCGAGTGCAAGGCATGCGTCTTTATATGTTGGATACTGTTGCCCATTCACTTTACGTATATCTTGAAATGATAATGGGGTAGTAACATTAACCAACAACAGTCATTACTAGTAAGCCTTGCTTGCGGGGCATCCATTTTTTTGTTTGAGAGCATGTGAAATATTGTGGTACTTGTGAATAGAGTAATGTTCTTGCAAAGGCACCAAAATCATCCATACTATTACACAATTTGGTAAAGATCTGTAAAGCCGTTTCGGAGGAGTACGGTAACTAACATTGTGACAGGGAAATTTTATATATTGGATTTATTTTTTAATGCAATATTATAAAACAACAAAAATTAAAAATTTCGTCGAAAAATAATAAAAAAAAAATTAAGGGTGAACAACGCTATAACTGAGGGGTATAATAAATAGATAGTAGCCGATTAGTAGATAGTCAGCCGACAGAGAAAGGTTTCAGGAAATTGTAAACATGATGACGGCCAACGTCTGAATACGGACACGGCACCCAAAGAAGAAGAAGCCGATTCTCAGACCTATTGAATGCGCATATAAAATTTGGTAAAGATTGGTAAAGCCGTTTCGGAGGAGTACGATAACTAACATTGTGACAGGGAAATTTTATTAATTAGATTAGATTAGATGTATTTTTTAATGCAACATTATAAAAAAAAAACAAAAAAAAAAAATTTCGTCAAAAAATAAAAAAAAATTAAGGGTGAACAACCTTTATCACTTAGAGGTATGAAAAATAGATAGTAGCCGATTCTCAGACCTATTGAATGCGCGTATAAAATTTGGTAAACATCGGTAAAGCCGTGTCGGATGAGTACGGTAACTAACATTGTGACAGGGAAATTTTATATAATAGATGTATTTTTTAATGCAACATTATAAAAAAAAAACAAAAATAAAAAATTTCATCGAAAAATAAAAAAAAAAATTAAGAGTGAACAACCCTTATCACTAGGGGTATGAAAAATAGATAGCCGATTCTCAGACCTATTGAATGCGCATATAAAATTTGGTAAAGGTCGGTAAAGCCATTTCGGAGGAGTACGGTAACTAACATTGTAACAGGGAAATTTTATATATTAGATGAGATTAGATGTATTTTTTAATGCAACATTATATAAAAAAACAAAAATAAAAAATTTCGTCGAAAAATTAAAAAAATAATAAGAGTGAACAACCTTTATCACTTAGAGGTATGAAAAATAGATAGTAGCCGATTCTCAGACCTATTGAATGCGCATATAAAATTTGGTAAAGATCGGTAAAGCCGTTTCGGAGGAGTACGATAACTAACATTGTGACAGGGAAATTTTATATATTAGATTAGATTAGATGTATTTTTTAATGCAACATTATAAAAAAAACAAAACTAAAAAAATTTCGTCAAAAAATAAAAAAAATTAAGGGTGAACAACCCTTATCACTTAGGGGTATGAAAAAAAGATATAGATACATTCACATTCAGATGGCAGCGTTACAGAGATAGGCCTGTACTTTCTATATGCCAGAAATAACTACATTGTTGTCAGTTTTTAATCGTACCTACAATCGTACGTTATGGGCCGGCTCCTATAAAAGAATTATAATTTCGGAAATATTTATGAATGTGAAACGGAAAAATACTACATTTTTTTAATTATATAATTTTTCTGTTGGTATTTTAAAAATAGAAAGTTATATTTCGGAAATCTGGTCTTTTCGGAATTATATGTTCTGTTCAAAATTGTTTACAATTCGTGGAAATGAAATAATTATTTGTATAATCCGTTTTTGATCTTAATGTCCTTTTAATGACACACTTTCTCTACCTGCATTTACAGTTACAGACATTAAAAAATAATTTAGAATTAAAAAAATATACCTATTTATAAATTCAAAATTATTGTCTAATGCCAGCAATTATAAATTCAGGTAAATACTTGAGAGTCATTAAAAGAATTTTCAGTTGATATCAGACGTTTGTGTCGTGTCAGTGTCAAAATGGCCGCGAGTGTAATAAAATTCAAAAACGGTAATTTGTTAAATAGTGAATGCAAAAAATAGTGTTAAATGTTTTTAACTATTTATCAAACAGTAATAATGATAAAAATGTATCAACAATAGTGCGGGAAGTTTCTGCTATGACTGGAGTCTGAGCGAACGATATTCCGATATAGAAGTGAAAGTAAAAATGGTCCACTCGTAACTCCTATAAGAAAAAAAAAGAACCGGTTGTTTGAATAGTCGTGAGAATAGATATGATGAAGCAACTCGGTCTAGAATAAGACCAGTAGTGCACGGTTTTTTTATGGACAATATTCCTCCAACCCTTGACGTAGTACTAGAAAAAATTAAGCAAATGGAGCATCTTCCGAATTTTTCCAAGAGTACGTTGAGAAGACTATTGCACGACATGGGTTTTATATATGGCAAACAAGGTAGAAATTCAATATTAATAGAAAAACAAGAAATATTCGCTTGGAGGCGTCACTATCTCCGGGAAATAAAGAAACTGAGGAACGAAGGAGCCAATATCATTTATATGGACGAATCATGGGTTAATACTGGAATAACCAATGGGCAATTATGGCAAGATACAACAATAAAAAGTAGCCGACAGGCTTTCGTAAATGAACTTACCACTTAGTATAAATAAAGAATTTAGCAATGGAATGCACACATTAACCAGCTGGAAGTCAAAATAGGTAAAGCACTGAATGTAATGCGTGCCTTGTG